GTAGAGTACAAGCAATTTTCATACCCAATTCCAATCTGGAGAAGGTTGCCAACGAGGGGAAAAGGTGAAGAAGGAACTAAGGAAGGCAAGATGTCTATTTTTGAAGATCGAATTGGTTGTTGAGTCAAGAACTAATGATACTTCTGTTCTCCATGCATGCACACAATTTCTTGTAGAAGAAAAAGGGCGGCACAGGGTGGTCAAAATGCAATTAAGTCTATAACTGAGTTCAAATGATGAAAGAGCGAGAATGTTAGTGTAGACGGCTTGTTAGAATGCAATCAAGTCTATAACTGAGTTCAAATGATGCAGGTTATTTGCTAGGTCTCACTCCCTAGCAAATAACCCGCATCATTTGAAATAGTTGTGAGATAATCTCGCTGGGTCAAAATGCAATTAAGTCTATAACTGAGTTCAAGCACTATAAATTATGATAACACCTACTCAAACACAAGGAACACAAACTGTTGGTGATTCCTCAAGAGGCGATGATATAGACATGATCAGTTCTAATGAGATGGATGTGAGACCTGTGGTGCGCGTCGATAGTCGTACTTTTGATGATGATTATGAAGATTGTGAGGATGGTGATCAAGTATCCGAGTTGGACAAATATTTGGTTGAACTCCGTGAAGGAGATGCAAAAAAAAAACATGAAGTATGACTTCTTGAAGTGGTGAAAGAACAACACACACCGTTATCCCATTTTGGCCGAGATGGCCAAAGACATGTTTGCAATCCCCATATCCATAGTAGCTTCTGAGAGTGATTTTAGCACCGGAGGTCGTGTGTTAGATTCTTTTTGGAGCTCTTGGACTCCTCAAATTGTAGAGGCTCTCATATGTAACGAGGATTTGCTAGCAAGTGCAACACTACCTCTTGAGGATGAGGAGTTGGAAGATCTTGACAACGATATGTATCGTTGTTAGTTACGTGTTGCGTACTGTATTGTTGTTTAATACTATACTTTTTAACCTGTTATTTGTTTTCATGTTTGTTTTAGTTTTCAAAACTATGGTATGAGATGTGAATATGTAATGCTACTACCGGAGTTGGAAGTGTTGTTGTCAGAGTTGGAACTGGGGTTAGAGCTTCTTCTTCGATTGCACCTAGTGGTTGAGAAGATCCTAGTGATACCGAGGATGAAAGTCAGAGCACTTCTGAGGACGAGGATAGTGGAGAGGTAGACTGATTGAGCAATTGAAGACATGGATAGTGGACTATGGTTTGAAGCAGTTTTGAAGTGTTTAAGTTCTACTAGTACGAGAAAAAATGACTTGTGGATTTGTGATATTGTGGTTGTTTTGAATTTAATTTTGGATGATTTCTTTTGGGATTGTAATATGAACTTTCTATTTCAGAATTTTCTAGGTACACTTTTCTTGTTTTCTGGATCATTTTACAGTGCATGTTGCTTTTTTTTGTGCTTTTTTTGGTCATTGTGCAGTTAATTGCATCATGTAAAGCAAAATCGTGTATTGCGGTTAGTATTGCAATTAACCGCTAACTGTTTGCCATGCGATCGCGGTTGGTGATTTTTTTCTTATGCGATTGCGATTAACCGTGTTATTCGGTGCGGTTAACCATAGCAGTACCATAAGCACGCTTCAGGCCTGACCCGTCAGTTTCCATGTGATGTCGTATCGGTCCATTTTAAAAGTTGCTAGGCCCAATCGAGGCCCGTGCACAGTTTATAGTTGGGCTGGGGACCCATATCTAATCTAAACAAGTAATATATGGAGGTTCTCCTCCGATAGCCAACCCATTCTCTTTTTTCTTATTCCTGCGCATAGTACGAAAGGCCATTTTGATCTTTTTAGTTTTAATTCAAGTCGGTACGTTTCATGATAATAGCTGTTTAGATGCGTTACCTCGATATAAGTTATATAATAATTATCAAGGTTCTAAAAGGCGCTAGGCGTAAGACAGGCGCTCGGCTCCTGACTTGCGCCTTGCCCGATTAGGCGTAGCCTAGGCGCGCCTAAGCGTTTAGAGCATAAATTGAAAAATTCTCAAATATTTTTTGTTTTATGGAATAATTCATATAATCCAAGTGTATATAAAATTAGCAATGCCTAGTTCTTAACAGTAAACACTTAACATAACAAATAACAAGCAAATAGTGACCGATCATATGCTAATAGGTGCTTATAGAGGCAAGAAGCTTGTGCTACGTATCGAGGAGAAGGAAGGAGCAGCAATTGACGAGTTTCGACTTTATTTCCCACTATAGCAGCGGAGCAGTGTGAAGGCGAGAAGAGTGATCGATGACTTTCTCCTGCGGCGGTATAGAGCAGCAAATGGGGCAAGAACTAGGGCGGCAGGCAGCAACAGATGTTACTTCCCGTGTTTCTGATTTTCTAGGTCAAGAGGCAAGTTTCTGATTTTATAGGACAAAACGAAGAGTATTGGGTTTAACCGCCTAAGCTCGCCCAGGAACGCCCAGACACGCCTTCTCTCCACTAGGCGCAAACTAAGCGATATTCCTACCTACTAAGCGCTACCAGCGCCTTTTACAACGTCTATGGCCAAGTCAAGGCGATCCTCCACCGCCTAGCTCCTAATTGAGCCTAGGCGTGCGCCTACGCGCGCCTTCTTGAACCCTGATAATTATTATGTATTGATATAATTGAATTATGGAATTGATATATGGATTTTGTCCTTCCGTTTCATGATAATGGGCTATGAAATAGAATTAAACCAACACATGGTTAGAAATAGTTGGTCACATATTATTTTTATAAACAGTAATTATTAATCAAAAATTTCTCGTATTCTAAAAATCAAACTTATTGAAATATAAATAATTAGTCAATCATTAACTTCTCGTTAACAGTTTCGTTAGCAGTGCTGACTAAGTACCACGATGTTGAGTTGACTTCCCACATGGCGGTCAACATATCATCATTTTTCGATATTTAATTATTTAAAAATAAAGGTAACTACAATTTATTTACCAAACCTTTCAAACTTTTCAAATTGTTAGGTAAACCTCTCAAACTTTTTATTATTAGCCAAACCTTTTGAAATATAAAATATTAGCCAAATCTTTTGTAACACATCAAAATATTAGCTATTATCCTATTACCGTTAATAATTCTTAACTCTTTTTTAGTTAAAATACCAAAGTTTTGGAATGTTGACCGCCACATGTCTCTTCCAAGTGAGTATCATATTATCAAGTCAATATTACTAACAAAACTGCTAACAGGAAGTTATTATTTGGATAATATTCTGTATTTGTATTTTAAAATGTTTGGCTAATAATTTGAAAAGTTTGAATGCATAATAATAAAAGACAAAATTTTATTGATTATTAACGTGGACAGTGAGGTGGAGCATTGTTTAGAAATAATTAACGGTAACAGACCAAAAGCTAATATTTTGACGCATTACAAAACTTTTTGCTAATTATTTGTGTTTTGATAGGTTTGGCTAATATTTTAGAATGCGGGAAATGTTTGGCTAATAATTAGTAGTTACCCTATTATTCTATACTATAGATGGTAATTCATTCGACTGATGGACGAGTCTACAATTTCCTTCGTTTCTTTTAACCTTTTAACATACCAAAACTTGAACAACTCCACATTTAGAGATTGCAATGAACTCCAAAATCGGTTAGTTTTTTTCCTCCATAGATCCAATATCAAATTCTTTTGTGTGATTCAACTATTCAACAAATTACAGAATAGTAAAGACATTCGATCTACAAGGGATAGGTGGAATGACACCATTGTTTAGCGAGTTGAAATTAAGTTGCTTGCTAAAAAAGAATGATGGTAGAGAATATAATTTTCCGTCTTAAAATGAGGTCGTTGCTTTAATTGTTGATGATACTAGGGGAAAACATTTTTTCTTGATATTGTTCTCCACTATCAAAGTCGCGAACTAAAACAAATTAGTATATATAATCTAAGTTTAATGGTTTTGCAATATCTCATATTATTCTCACGGGGTGAGGATGGTTGGCACTCAAATTTTCCATATTCTAGCAATGAGGATGCATATGGACTCAACAAGAAGAATGTGACTCAATGTGATTTTTACAGTTATAGACTTCAATCAAGACTGAAATTAATAATCAAACTCATTGCTATTGTGTGGAAAGTTGTAACAACATTACTACCAATATCTTTTGGATTCTATTCTTACTTGAGATGTGATCCAGATGCCAATACAAGCGGAAATAATGTATTTTAACTTCAACATATACAGGTAGTCTTGTATATAAGTGTGCAAATTTTGGGAGTGAGAAGTAAATTGAAGTGTGATTTGCTAATATTTTTTAAGAGTTGGTTCTCTTGAATGAGTTTGATTTCTTTTACTTTCAATTACGAATTTTGTTTTATTCATTAATTAAATAATTTGGACTCTTCTATATTATCAAATAAAAATATATCATTCTATGTAAAATAGCTACTTTTATTTATTCAAAATACATCCGACCAACGGACGGACCCAAATCTAGTGTTCAAGCATCCAGAAGAACAAAGGGCGTTCTGGCAAGGGAAACGTCAAGGATTGTAGTTGGGCTTGGGAAAGGCTAAGGCGTTTCTTGTCGTTTTTGAACTTCGATTTGAACCCATGGAATTCTCTGATAGACTGAGAAAGGAGCAGCAGGGGATGCTTAGCAATAAACAGTAGCAGCAGAGTGTACTCCAAGAATGACGAGCACAGGGAGGAGAACATCAAGGGTGTTATTATCTAGTCTACTGCAAGAACAATTGGATCGCTCTTGTATCTCTCTCTCTCTCTCTCTCTCTCTCTCTCTCTCTCTCTCTCTCTCTCTCTTATCTACTGCAAGAACAATGTAATCGCTCTTGTATCTCTCTCTCTCTCTCTCTCTCCCATTTCACTTCTCAACATCTCTGTGTGATTATCGAAAGGGGATTTTGATTTTTGGTTTGTTGTCTCCATTGAGAAAATATGCCCTGGAATTGAGAAAATATGCCCTGGAATCAGGTTATCGTCTACTGATGAACTTCGACCTTGTTACCATCCTGGATACTTTCTTTATTGGAGCATTCTTACGTACTTTCGTCACCCCGGCTCACCAACACCGCTTAAGCCTTTCACCAAACTTAGAAATCCATGCATACTGCTCTTAGTATCACTTCAGTTTATAAATATACAGATGCAATGCACTATCAGCAGACGATGCTTGCAGAATGGAGTTCTATGGGAGAGACGAAACCTCCTCAAAAGCAACTAGCAAAAAAGAAATTCCCAAACAACATATTACTCTTGAAACAGACATCATAGGGTAGAAAATAGCCGTTTTATGCTTGATAACAAGCAAAATCGCTACATGTCTAACACGAAACTTCATAGTTCTTTTTTTTTTTTTTTTGTAAAACTTCATAGTTCTTCCAAAACGCCCAAACAGTGGTAGTGTTCACCCCCTACCTAGCCACAACCATCGATAATTAAGACTTCTCAGAAGAATTGGGTCCTCTCTTCTTGCCAAATCCGACAACTGCAACCAAAACAGCAAAAGGAACAGCATAATCAGAACCCAATTACCAAGCAAAGCAATCCTACATGACTAGGAAGCAAAGCAATTCAACATGACGCTATTTCAAACATGGGCATCGATGTCGAATTAATGAATATTGCAATACTCATTCGGCAACAAATAATTGTCCTCAGATGCAGCACAAGATGGGTCTTTGAAATTGAAATGATATGGGATCGACTTTTCGGAGAGTGATGTCCTTTTCCTATCCAGCCACAATTCACTAAATAAAACCATCAAGCAGATACAAGAACTTGCTTCTTTTCATTACCCTGTGTTGAGCAAACCGTTTCCAAAACCCTAATTGAGAAAGGAAAACAACCCAACAAGTGCATTTCCTTCGAACTGACGATAATCTAAACAAGCAAGATAGAACAAAGAACAGCTCCCGCACCAAAAACACAGATGCAACACAAATTCATTCATAACAATAGGAAATCCACAGGGAAAAAATGGACAATTCATACATAACCAGAGGACCTATATCCAGAGAGAAGAGAAGAGGGGGGGAAAGCATACCAGCAGTGACGAATCTGCGGGTGTATTGCATTCTCTTATGGGCACGACCGCGTGGCTTCTTCTTCTTCTCCTGCTTCGCTACCTTGGGAGTCTGCCCTCTCACCTTGCCGGCACGAGCCAACGAGCCGTGAACCTTACCTGCAAATCAAAGAACAAATTCCACCCACCGGAAAATCAGTTCACCGCCGATTTAGTTCAATCAGGGAAGCATAATATATTCGGAAGCTCTTCTTACCCATGGTTGTGAATTGTGATGTATCTTCTTCTGCGCGCCGCTTAGTCGCCGAAATGCAGTGATTGCCCTGGATGCGCCTTAAGGAGATAATTAGGGCTAGGGTTTTTTAGTTCATATAGTATTGGGCGAAAATGAGGATTGCTGGGAACGTGTGGGCTGGGTGAGTGAAATTGTGGGCTCATTTCAGGCCATATTGAGGTGGTATCGAGCTGCGATCCGCGATGATATGGGCTTTTAACCTGTTATACTAACCGCAACTAGGGGTGGAAATGGGTACGGTATCGGTATCCCAATACCAAATACCGAAATCCCGAATAACGAATTACACCCTAAAATTAATCACAATCTCAATCCCTAAATAATTTGGTATCCCAATCGGTACCTTGGTATCTCAATCGGTATTATTGAATACATAATTAATTACCTTTGCAATTAATAATTAAATATATAAATTATATTTTATTGTTTAATTTAGGACAAAGAGACTAAGAAAATAGTCTTGAGTTGCCTAGAGCTAACATTTCAAGTTCTTGTAATTGGTATCTTTAATTTGACGAATTTGAGGTTGAGAGATGACTAATACTAGTGTGAAATAGTGATGTAATGATTTATGTATAATTAAATGACACTTTTGGTGATTGAGAGTCGTATAGTAGTGAATGAGAGAGTCTAGTTGAAAGGATAAAATACACACTATCTTATATTTCGGTATTGATTGGTATTTCGGTTATCATATTTAATTAAGTTCATTGACGGTTCACATATTCTTTGGTCAATACTTGGCTCGAAAATTGAAATGCACTGATAGATGAATATTGAAGGCTCAAGAAAAATTTAGGACTGTTATCATATTTGACCATGTTTAAATGCCTTTTACTTATGTTTTAAGTGAATTTTGTTGGTCCAATTCAAAATTTGATGTTCAAATAGCAAACGAACAGACAATAGTTACACCGACAGAAGTTTTGTTGGCTGAAAAAAAATACACAACAAACATACACATTACCATTATATTATATAATTAAAATAAAAAAGAGCGGCAGTCGCATCCCAGGAGTGTGACGCCACTTAAGTATATTCTTTGCCAACCTTTTGCGTGTTTCGGACCTCATTATTTTATGAATCGCTATTTGCCGCCCGCAGTTTTACTATTTGCCGCCCGTAGTTAGAAAAAAAAAGACGATTTTGCCCCTAACCCTATCCCACCCTCAACCCATCTGCCCCCCTTCAACCCTCCCTCCTCCTGCCTCCCTCCCGCCGCCGGCGACCCTCCTCTTGCCGGCCCTCCCGCCGCCGCCGACTCCTCCCTCCTGCCAACCTCCTGCCGCCGACTCCTCCCTCCGCCGCTGCCGACTTCCTCGCTCGCTCTCGCCGTCGCCAACCTCCCAAGCTCGGCGGAGGGAATTTTTTTTTATTTTTTTTCAGTCGCCGTCCGACTGGCCGGAGCGGACGCGGTCCGACTGGCCGGATCGGACCCCGTCCGCCCGGCCGGATCGGACCCCGTCCGCCCGGTCTGGTCGGACCCTGTCCATTCGGTCTGGTCGGACCCCGTCCGCCCGGTCTGGTCGGACCGATCTGATTGGGTTTATCATTCGGTTTGAATGGTTCGGTTTAAATAAATATTTATTAGATTTATTTTAAATACAATTGTTAGGATCTTAATTAGTTTAATATTGATAGTTGAATAATTAGTATATAATTGTTAATTTGACCACAGTTGGTTAAGGGAATTAGGGTTTGACTTAATTAGGGTTTGACCCGAATTAGGGTTTGACTAAATTATATATTATTTGACCACAGTTGGTTGAGGGAATTAGGGTTTGACTTAATTAGGGTTTGACCCGAATTAGGGTTTGATCTGAATTAAGGTTTGATTTAATTAGGGTTTGGCCCGAATTAAGGTTTGATATAATTAGGGTTTGACTTAATTAGGGTTTGACCCAAATTAGGGTTTGACTATATTATATATTATTTTGACCATAGTTGTTTGAGGGAATTAGGGTTTGACTTAATTAGGGTTTGATTCGAATTAGGGTTTGACTTAATTAGGGTTTGACCACAGTTGAAATAATCTCACCCAAGATGACGGATAACAACAATAAGAATCAACTCGACTCAACTGGACCAATAATGACAATAAAGAAGGAAAGCATCTCATCCACCTCCTATACCTTATACTCCTCTGAAACCCTAAACCCTCATTCCCCTTGAATAGCTACCTTCAACCTCGATCCATCCAATCCTACTAGGAAATTATTTTAGAGGCAAAATCATCTCTTCCTCCACTAACAATAATATTTCGTCTCGTGGAAATATATGTGATAGGCTCAAAAAACTCCTAGTTACCACCCCCAGAGCCCTAAAAACACCTCGATGAAAGTTTTGGCACTATTCATCTCTTTTTGTCGCGAATGTCCGATTGATAAACAATCGATTCCAACACATTTGTATCCACATTTTAAGAGATCGATGAAAGTTTTAATATTTTTTCATGTCGGTGACTCTAGTAATTGGTAAAAGATGTTTTTGCCCGACCTTCCCCGAGCCGCAAAGAGTCCTCTTCGTGCCTCGATTCCTTGGAAGTTTTATAAAACATAATTTAGGTACGATGATCTTATTAAATATGAAATAAATACAATTAAAAAAGGTTTAATCAAAATTTATAAATATTTTATAACTATTCTACATAATTAAAATGAATTATTCATAAGTTATACAATATTTATGATAATTTATGATTAAATATCCATTCTCTTATACACTACTTCAGATCATTTGTAATTATTTAACATACTATAATTATTTAATTGCTATTATACTGAATTTATTTATTTTAGCTCTATTTACATAATTATAAAATAAGTATGAATTAGTTTGTACAATATTTTTTATAATTTAATTTTTTTTCTTATGAATAATTTTTAGTTTTTCTAATTCATAAATATAATTAATAAACATACATATAATTATTAGCATGATATAATATTAAAAAAAATAGAAGATTGAGTTAAATAATTAATATCATTTAGCGACGAATTTTGTGACGGTTTTGAAACCGTCGCTAATGCACGGTCCGCTCGCCGGCGTCGGACGGGGTCCGCCCGCCGGCGTCGGACGGGGTCCTCCCTCCGGCGTCGGACGGGGCCTTTCCGCCGGCTGTGGTGATTTGGTTCTGGCGGTGGTGGCGATGTCGGCGATTTGGCGGCGGTGGTGGATTGGCGCCGACGACAGTAGTGGGGGAATGGGGTTTGTTTTATAAAAAATGAACAAAGGGTAAAAATGTCATTTTAGTTTAATTTACAGGCGGCAAATAGTAACCCTCATTATTTTTTGTCTACCCTTTGCCCCACCCAAATTAGACTTAAAACAGCCTCCTAACCCATCATTTAACTTTTAGCCATTTTTTTGGTCATTGATGGAAGGAAATTGGGAGGGCTAAGAGTAAGAGGCTTTTATATATATATGTGCATTTTTAACCCTTGAGTTATGGTCAACTTTAATATTGACACAAAACCATCAGATTCAACTCGACTTACTGACCAACTAAAACCAACTCCAACCATAACAACTACGTAATCTAACACATTTCCTATTAACTATTCACTTTTTCATTCTCAATTCACATTTTCACTCCAACCAAACCATACTACTCTGAAATCTAATACCCTCACTTTTTATGTTGACTTGATATGCATAAAGTTTACTTATATGTAACTGATTCGGGTCTAATTGCACATGTTTTGCCCCCGTTGTACTTAGATGTTTGGACCAAATTCGCTTCTAAAAGGTTGGTTTTACGCTAGGTTCTTCGTGTTTGAGTGTGTTTCAGGATTTAACAGGTGAAACCAGCCTCGGAGTCGAAAGATTGGCGAAAAAGATCGAAAACCGGGAGAAGAGGTGAAAAAAGAGCCAGTTCATGGCTAACTGAAGGAGTTCACGGTCACGCAAGACCGTGAAGAAGGGGAGTTGACCATGAATCGCGAGGCGTCTAGAGCCAATGTGAAGGTTACCGACGCAAGGTGAGTTCACGGTCACTAAGACCGTGAACACAGGCAGTTGACAGTGAACAGACGTGAGCGATGCGAAGCGTTTTGGCGCACGCCTTGAGTTCATGAAGGCGTTTGATGGTTCATGGCCGTTAACTCATCTCATCTCGGGTTTAAAAGATGAGCTGAGAGAGAGAGAGAGAGAGAGGAGAGAGCTCACTTTTGTGTGAAATACGTTCTTCAGCATTCTAGTGAGAGAAACAGAACTAAAGGGAAGAAGAAGGTTAGGGTTTGGCTTCAAGGCAAAGTTTGGGAAGATTTCCCCCAAGGAAAGCTCAACTCAAGGGTCAAGAAGACTGGGAGCATCCTCCAAGATGGTTTCCACCTTTTTTCCCTTTTGTTCTTCCCACTTCTAGCATGGAGTAGACCTCCCTTCACTTGGGTGTAGTGAAACCCTAACTCTACTATGTAGTTTTCTTGTATGTGTTTTGGATGATTGTCATTGGGTATTGTTCAATTCAATGATTGAGGCATTATTCACCATGATTGTGCATGCTTGTGCTTAGCAACTTAGGGGTTGTGCATGTTTTGTGCTTAGCATCCTTAGTTTTGTGCATTTAGGTGCTTAGCAACCTAAGGATTATGCATAATTGTGCTTACCACCCCTAGGTTTGTGCATTTAGGTGCTAGTAATCTAATTTGCCACCTTAGCCTAGTTTAGAGAGGAAAATCTCCATTTCAAGGGAGACTCAATCGAGTTGGTTTTCCTTCCGCTTTCTAAGCCACCTAAACTAGGTTAAGTTAGGGCGACCCTCAATATTGAGTTAAGCAAGTCAATTAATCGTGACTAAATCGTCCAACCTTAGAGTTGAGTGAGGGAGTAAATCAAATTACCGATTGTCTAAACCGAGAGGGTCGAGTGACACGGCCTTTCATCCTTGCCTCGGTTTAGCAATTGAGATGCGGTCTCCAACCACATATGCGTCCCTCTGCGGTTCGCGATTATCATGCCCAAAGGCATCATTCCAATTCACATAGCATGGTAGCGGTTAGGGGGAAGCGACACCTGAGTGACTTTCCCACAAAAGAGTTTTCAAACCCAATCAGCTTTGCTTTCTTTTATTTCAATTAGCAAACCTTTAAACCAAAGTTTTGTTGCTAGATAATGATTTCAACAACGGAAGTAGGGATAGGCGGACCGGCCCGGGTCGAT